TTCTTTATTTTTTTTAATGTTTACTTTTGAGAGAGAGACAAGAGTGTGAGCAGGGGAGGGGCAGAGAGAGAGGGAGACACAGAATCTGAAACAGGCTCCAGATTCTGAGCTGTGAGCACAGAGCCTGACGCGGCGCTCGAACTCACGAACCGTGAGATCATGCCCTGAGCCGAAGTCGGACACTTAACCGACTGAGCCACCCAGGCACCCCACAAGTTTTCTTGTAAATGTATTTCTTGTAATATATTTCTGTTTTCTCATTGTTTAAAAATTATATTTAGAGTTAAGCTTTATATATATGCATATATATTTGCCCATTTTTTTCAATTACAAACCGAACAATTTTTGAAACTATTTCATACCTTAGTGGCTAGATAATATTAAAATGGTAATCGTGTTTTAACGAACAATTACTCTGTAACATTTCACCTAACTTAAATATTTTACATTTTAAAATAGTGTCTTGTTTCCTAAGACCCTGGCAAACGCCGGCAACTAAAACTTAGTCTGCTACTTAGCAAAGAAGTTTTCATGCTCTTTATTAACTAGGAATCCAAGAAATGCAAGCTGAGCACCTCACCCCTGCTTGGCCTCTTCTCTCTGTTGATTGCCTCAGGGCAAGACCTGCAAGGATCACAGCTTTGAGATGCAGCAGCATGGAGCCCCCAGCCCTGGAAACTCCCTCTCCCGCAGCCACCTGCTGGGACGCCCTGCCCGCTCCTCAAAGCTCCCTGGAGGGGTGTCACCCCTCATCCCTGTCCTCAGGAAAACCATCCATCTGGATGCCTTCCCTCAAAGCCACATCCCACAGGCTTCCGGCCGACCGGGCCCGGGAGCCGGAGCCTGGAGTGTGTCCTCACCGGAGACCAAGCCCCGGAAACTCAGCTCCACCTCCTTAACACTCCGTCAGAACAGCCAGGCATGGCCCTTGGGCCCCCTGCCTTCTCACTGGGAAGAGCTGCCCGCCCCGGGCAGGGAGGCTGCCACCCATGGAGGAGGGAGGCTGCCCACCCCAGCCTCACGATCTGTCTCCCTAGTGCCAGGGGGCAGAGTCCACTCTGAGGGCCCAGGGAACCCAGGATTGGCCAAACCCAGCAGGATGCCCATAGTGGAGAAGCCCCTGGTGAGTTCCTACCTGGCCCTGCCATTTCAATCCCGGTTAGCCCAGAAATCACCAGGCCCTGCAGGGCCAGGCTCAGTGGGTCAGAAACACCCTCTCCCAGTGGCTGCCCACGTGACTACCAGAACTTCTCCAGGAAGAGGCAAGCCCCGGTCCAGGGGTATCCCAAGACCCCAGCTGCATCTCCAGAGGGCCACCTCCACCACGGGTCCTGCGACAGCCATGGATTTGGCTCCTCTGGACACAACCAGGCCAGGCATAGTCAGACATGTCACTACGATGGTCACCAACAGGCCTAGTTTGACTATCAATCTGGCCGCACCAAGCACATCCACAGTGGATACAGGCACAGAGTTCCCTGCTCTGGATACCAAGCTGGGCACAGCCACGGACTTTGCTACAGAAGGCACAACCAAGTTGGACACGGTCATGGATTTGGTAACCCCAGACCCAGAGAAGCTGGGCAAAGCCATAGCTACAGCAGGCACAGCCAAGTCAGATACAACCACAGGGGGTACAGCCACGGATTTGGTGGTACCAGGTGCAGTCAAGCTGGGCACCACCAGGACAGACACAGCCATGGCTTTGGCTAGAGCGAATACAGCCAAGCTAGACATAACTACAGATTCTTTTGCTTTGGACACAAGCAAGCTGGGCACAGCCATGGGGGAGACCACACTGGACAGAGTCATTAACCTGACCACATCAGCCACCTACCCACTGATGCCAAGCAGAAGCACAGACCCAGCCCCGGACTGTGCTACTGTGGATGCTGTGACAGATGGGACCACAGAGCCCATCATGCTGGACCTAGCCAGAGAAACCAAAGGTAATGCAAAGAGCTTGGTTGGGGATGTGGTGGGCTGCCGTAGGGGGTCAGGATCTATTGGCCAAGAGATGGACACGTCAGGAAAGGGAGGTGGAACTAAGGTCAGAGATGAATGTGCTGGGGGCAAGGGGAATGAGATTGACGGGCAGAACACAGGGGATGCACTCTGAGCTGGGTCCCAACCTGCCAATCAGAGGTGAGGTAGAGCGAAGTCACCAGAAGGAAAGTGTACAGGGGTAACTTGTGAAGGAGAAATTACGCGGGGTCCTTCCTTTGGTATCTTCCATGGTTGTTTCTTTGTTCCCTGAAGAGCTGGAGGAGTCAGGTGATCTGTAGGTGGGTCCAGCTTTAAAAGCAAACCACCTGCAGGAAAATACAGACCAGCACGTCAGGAAGTGGTGATTTGTCCGACAGCCATCACTATAGTGCTCCTCTCGATGTGAGCAGTGACTTCACCTGAGACCTTCTAACTCATGCACATTCAGCCTTCCAAGAAGCTATCTGTTGCTCGAAAGGTGCCTCACCTGGCATGTTCTTCCTTGATCCCTTACCCCTAGCCCTTTAGTCCAAAAGGTAAGTTGGAGACTTGTACGTATGCAAGTCCTGCACAGAGCTTTAAGTAGGCCAACACAAGGGCTGGACGATCATTTGGTCTCAGAGAGGATGTGACATGCCCAAAGTCATGCAGCTGGTTGGTGGCAATAAGCTAGTGGGAATCCAGATCTTGGAATTCTTCTTTGGGCCATCCCAACATTCCCAACATCGCACAGGTTCAGATTCTGGAGCTTGGAAAGCATCCCATCCGTCAGTGCCTTAACTGGGTCTCTGGGAAGCCAGACCCTCCTCATCTTGCCCCATACATTCAGTCTGGGGCAGCTCTCCCAGGCCCTGGTCTTCCGGTGGGGCCCCTCAACCCTGACAGCCCATTTCTTCCTGAACGGACCCTGCTCCCTGATTTCACTCTCTCAGCTACAAGCACCGGCACCCTAGAAGCCTGGGTTTCTTCCTCTTCATTATCTTTTGCTCTCCTTCACCCAACCAGTCTATTTCCAAGTTTGTTGATCTACCTCCTCAGTACTTGGCTGTCTACCCCCTCTGCTCCAACCCTCTGCCCCTGTGATGCCACAGCTCTCTCCTGCTCCCCCACCTCCCCCAGGGCTCTCAGTCCTCCATGCAACTGCCATAGGGACTCACATATTCGATGGCAGCACTTTCATTGGCTTCCCTCAAAAGTCCAGCTCCTTAGCCTGGCTTCCAAGACTTCGGACTTCTCCAGCCTCTAGCTCTATATTTCCACCTGGAATTTTCTCTGCTTTGGCTGCATCAGGAGCGGTGTCGTCCACGGCACCATGCTGCTTACCCCTCTGGGTCTGCTCACGTCTGCTGCCCCTATCCACAGAGTGCCCTTCCCTTCCCTCCCACCAGCATTTATTTGCCTTTCTGTCTTGGCCCCAGGCTTCCCCATGAGCTCTTCCAAAATCCCTCTCTCCCCAGAATGCCCACCGGAGTACCCTATGCGTACCCCCTGCCCTCTCCATTAGGACAGTCCAGCTTTCCTGTCTCCCCCGCTGGAACTAGAATGGTCATCTTCGTCCCTGTGGCCCCCAGGGCCTGGCACTGCACTGTCCATTAATGGTGACTGAATGCATGACCTTTTTTTTCCTGATGGATAAATGGAGGCTCAGGAAAGTTCCCGACCAGGTCAAGGTCACAGGGCTCACCATTCCCCAAGCCGGGCCTGGAACCCGGGCCCCTGACTCAGGGCTCCGCAGGCGCCCGCGCCTGGGCAGAAGCGCGCTGAGCCCGCGCAGCATCCCCACTGACCGCGTGACTCGCGCGCGCATCGCCCGCTCGCTGCAGCCACCGGTCCCCGGCGCCCCCCGCCCCGCCCCAGCCTGGAGGGTAAGAGGCCGGGAGCGGGATGGGGCGGGGCGGGCGGGGCTCGGGACTGGGATGCGGGCACCTCCCCCCGGCCAGGCATCCCGAGTTGCAGGCATAGCGACCCGCGCGCCACCGTCTCCCCCTCCCGTCGCCCGCAGCCGGAACCCGGTACCCGCTCCCGCGTGCGGGCTGGGGGAGCG